TTAGCTGAATTCGGCTTTTCCTAGTTGCAGGCAGCCCCAATTAATTACTCGCCGCTGTCGGTACCATAAGCCATCAAATCCGTTTTGTTGTTCCATTCCATGCGCTCAATGTGTTTTGATATATTTTTTTGAGGCAAATGAACGCATTTTCCACATATGTATCATGAATACTATTTCACATTGGGCGCGTTTATAAGACGTAGCTGTTGCCTAACCGTTGGCTATTTGTCTTAGAAACGCACAGTTGAGTAGTTACGCTCAGCCCAACAGTTGGCAACTTTCCCCCATTTTTTCCAGCGAACAATTTTTACGCTACCTGAACTCAACGAGTTGGGCTTAGCCTAAACAGCTGATCGAAAAGGCTTACGCCGCTTATATTAAATTTAACGCTGCTTTGTTAGGTGGCAGTTGCAAACAAATTTATTATATTTAATATTACTGACGTGATAAAGTAACTAAAATATTTTATAACTAGCTGTACCCTGCCACGCTTTGCTGTGGCATATTCATGGTACATGGATGATAAAAGATTAACGAAACAAAGCATACGTTTCATATAAGTTTGATTTTGTAATAAGTACTTGTGTACATGCAATGTTTGTCGCTTTTCTATTCCCTGCATAGATATCGAGGATATCTGGTTTGCCGACACGGGAACATGCAACACCTGAGAAGCAATCCGCATCCAAATCTAAACCATACTTTTACAAAGGTTGACCTTGAGCATTATTGATTGTGATTCCGAATGCCAATCGAATTGGAAACTGCAATCTTTTAAATCGAAATGGTCGGAATCATGGAAATTCTTCACCTTTGAAAAACCACGTTCAAATCTTTGCTTGCACTACATTCTTCATCAATTTCTTAACTGCGAGTCGCGTGCCGTTGCAGAGTTTTGGCTGATTAATATTCCGCAACACGATAATTGCCACACCTTCTTTCAATTTCGGTATGTGGGTTCATCCCTGGAAGATCAATCGAGTTCAAAACTTCCGTTGCATAATTAACTGCTTCGTCCTTTTCCACAACGATGTTTATCGACGTATATGTTATTGTTCAAGCGACTTATGCATTTCCCGTATAAACCAAGTGCAGCGAACACACACGCGCACTTGTATTACACTCCCGCCTAAAACCAAGTGCAGCGAACAACACACGTACTTGTGTTTAAAAGTAATTCGCTCGTTCTTAATTGGGTATGCATTTTTTATGCAATTCTCAAATATCTCTTCGCTGAACTTAGTGAAGTGATAAGTCGCTGGCATTTTCAGCATCACAAGGGTCAGCGCCCCTATGATTGACTCCTCCCTCACCCCATGGTCATGTTACCCCAGCTTGGATATCACACGGTGCTTTAAGCATCACCCACACTCCACTACCGGAGTAATTTTTGGCATGGCATTAAGCTACTGAATGCATCCCTGGATATATCCCAGCTCATTGCACAGCAGCCTACGGCAGCTAGACCATGACTCTTCCAATGGATTCCCCCAATGAATACATGGTGAAAGGGTTACATCTTGCGCTACCGCTTCATCAGCCTGCCCGCATATCTCTCTCTCTCTCTCTCTCTCTCTCTCTCTCGCATATCAGGCACATTGAGTGCGTGGCTAACTTGATGTGTACCTATAAACCATACGGGCTCATTGAGCTCGATACATATACACTCGCAAAGGTAATCCCTAACCCCTCTACTACTCTAAATAGACCACAACTCTAAATCTGGTCTCCCGGTCTCCCTCAGCTAAACAGTTATTTCCTCACTTTGAATGCTGGATTGAATATCATTAGTGGTATTCACCAAAGTGAGCAAGTGGCCTGGCAGTCTGGTAAAAGAGCAGACCAGCTCAAGCAACGACTGTGGTCAATACCACTCTTATTTAGTTGATAGACATCCTTATTCTTCGCAGCAAGAATAGTTCGTTCACTGAGCCTATAATTAATTTTCTTAATTAAGAAACGTTCTTTCGATCAGTTCTCCTTTCGATGTTCCTAAGTTACAAAAATTATCAAGTAATAAAATTCGTCTTAATCTCTCATTGGCTGGCAGCTTTCCGTTCCCAATGTCCAGTATTTGTCGCGAGAATATCTCGGCTGCAGTGTATATATGTTCATTTTGCCACAATGTTGACTATTTCAGGCAAGCATTTATCTCGCCCGCTAGTGTTAATCGAAAAATTACAGACAATGTTTGCGTTAAATCTCCTGAGAGCAACATCAATACATTTCCGAATGGTGGGACAATCAATAATAAGTTTAAATTTTTGTATTATTTTTTCCATACCGGATGTTCTGGAAATATTGAAGGTGAGAGTTTCGATGATTTATATGTTCAATGACAGCTTAATAGCTGACTTAGCACTGTAAGACTTCTTAAAAATCTAAAGTTAGATATCCACATTAAAAAATTTCGTTAATTTTATCAATTTAACTGAGTTAAAATTTTAAAATTGGTGGCAACCCTCCTCAAAAATATTTCCAACAGTCATCTTTCTTAAATCTCTTCAATTTGATACCTATATTGTAATAGGTAGTTTATTTTATCTTTAAAATGAGTTAAATTTTCTATCAGGTGGCAACCCTCTTCAAATATATTTTCGGCTGTAAGCCTTTTTAAAACTCTTTTGTTTGATGCCCACATTGCAATAGTTCATTTACTTTACCAATTTAACTGAGTTAAAATTTTCAAATAGGTGACAACCCTCGTCAAAAATATTTCCAGCAGTTATCTTTCTTAAACCTCTTTAATTTGATGCCCATATTGTAACCATTTACTTATTTTATCAATATAATTGGATTTAAAAATTTTCAAATATGTGGCAACCCTCAAATGTTTTGCGATATCATTGGTTCTGGTATTACACCGAACAATACAAAAATAAAATTATTCAAATCGGTTCAGCGGTTCTCGAGTTTTGACGACCGTGACATACGAACACAACATTTTTATTAATATAGATAATACTACGTTTCTAAATATATGTTTTTAATATGTATGCTATATAATATTACACTGTTTAATTCATTGTAACATTGAACGATTTTTTCAACACGCGGCCGCTCAGCGTTGAGTTCTAAATAGTATCGGCGCAACTATCTCTATTTGTTGCAATTTCATTTGTTTACATTTATCAGCTGTTCATTTGGCAGCATATTCATCAAGCCGTTTCTAAGACGTAATTGTTGGGTTCAACAGTTGCCAGCAGTTTCGTCGTAGCAGATGAGCTAAACAGCTACGTCTTTTGAGCTGAAAGAATAATAAAAGGAAACACGGAACTCAAGAATAATAAGCTTTATGAGAAAAAAATAATTACGCTTTTCTAAGAAAAAGAAGAAAAAAACTAGCGATGCATCCAGTTTTCTCAACAGACCTTTTCTATTTTAACGCACAAATAGTCTCTCTTTATAGCCAGCCGCTGAACATTTCCGCTGGAAATACCTACTATTATCTTACTCTTTGACTTTAAATTACGAAAGAAGGTCGACGTAGGGGACGGTCTTAACGTAGTACCTTCACAGGCAAAAAAAATGTTGGCTACAATTTTTTGTTTGCCAGATATACGTTTTATCAGCGCACTTGCACAATATTCGCATTCGCAAAAGCTCCGCATTGATTATTGCGAGTGCGGAATCGAATGCGAATGTTAAATGTCATACGAAGTTTCTTTTAAGACTAATCAATAACAAATCAAATTATACATATAAACAAGTAATTTTTAGCAAAAAAAAAACCGACTTCAACTCTCATATAAAAAAAATATATATATATATATCTCATGATCCGCTGATCGGATCTTAACCAGATTAGTACGGGACCACCTCTGAGACACTACCTTTCCGATGCAAAAAGAATTATCGAAATCGGTTGCCGTGGTCCAAAGTTATGCGGTAACATACATAAAAAATATTCCGACGAACTGATAACCTCCTCCTTTTTTGGAAGTCGGTTAAAAAGAAACCAAATTGAACATATCCAAAAAACTAGTAGATTTATCTTCGTACATCACCAAGGAATCTGTTCGAAAGCCCAGAAATTTGGATGAAATATCGAACTGGTGGTATTTATTTCTTTAGAGATGAGCTTCCTGATGATGTATATTATGAATTCCTCCTTCTGCATTGCGCTTACAGATTATTATTCTGTCCCAAAAACTATAGTCCCAACATTGATGGAACGGTAAATATGCTGAAATTATTTGTGGAGAATTTTGCTGTTGTGTTTGGGGACAACAGTATCACGTACAATGTACACTGCTTGGTCCATATTTCTGAAGATATTAAAGAACTAGGTATTCCTTCTAATTGCTCCGCATATTCCTTTGAAAACTATTTGCAAATTCTGAAGTCATATGTCAAAAAGCCGACACAAATATTGCAACAAATCATGAATATGTTGAAACACGAGGGTATTGTGATGGCCCCAAAATTTACCGGATATAAAATTAAAAATGATCTTATAAAACGTTTCCACTTTAACGAATTCATGTTATCTAAAGAATGTTCAAATAATTTGTGTTCCGTGAAACCATTTCAATACATAAGAATAGACGAAAAGACGTAAATAGCAAAATTATTAAAGGGAAAAGATTGTTGAACTTACAATGCTATTTCACAGAACCCATTGATTCTTGTGCATTGGGAATATGTTCTGCGGATCTTACTCTGTCATCTAATGTTGAAGAATTTTCCCTAGATGATGTAGAAAGCAAATTGATGTGCATTCCCCTTCCAGAGAAAATTCTTCTTATTCCAATGTTACACACTTGCATGTAAATATTTCGTTGACATTTACTAATCTTTTATAATTTATTTATTAACATTATTATTAATTAATTGTATTTTCTCGAGCATTTCTTCAAAAAACACGGAGGACGAAATTCCAACAGCTCGGCGGCGGCAATTCCAACGAAAAAGGCAAGATGTAAGTAATCATTATCTAGCAATAACAATACGGTATATACAATTTAAAAAAATATATATGTATATCTTATTCATTGTAGATGCGATTGAACCTGACAACCCGGGGCCAAGCTTCAGCGTATCCAGTGAATGTACTATAGGTGCGAAGTTTTTGTAATCGTACATATGCAAACATTTTGTGTTACATATGTATGTATACTTAAATTAATTTTTTATACAATCACGTAAGATCAGCGTTTCGACCTCGGCTAAGGATACAACACTGTAAATTATTTATTGCTATGTCGAATATTGACATTCTGATGCAAAATGAAAATTTTATAGTTATTAGTTTTAGCATATCGTACTATAGAGTTTAAAAATTTTTTATTTCAGAACCCAACCAATGCGTCTTTGAAGTGGTTTGCTGCAGTCACTGCAATAGGTTCGAGAAACAGCTTCAAGAAATAGACAAAAAACTCGAAGAGCTACAATTGACAGTCGAAACGCAGAAGACTGCAATTATGGACGCAATATCTGCTCAAAAGGTTACCACTCAGCAATTGGTTCGCCAGGAAGCACAAAATGAAAAAATTACTCCCGCCTGATAGCGTAATCTAATACTAATTTTTCCAATTTACAGGAATCTGCGGTTTCAGCTATTTTATGTAACAATATAAAAAATATCAGGCTGCTGCTAAATATGGACGTTATAAAAGCCTTAAATGTGGATGGTTCACATGGGCAGATTGGCTTAAGGTCCCTTCTTAATTTTTATGGTACATTGACTGGTAAGGAAAATGTACTTTTCTATTAGTTCATATTTAATATAAACCTTTATTTCATTCAGGAGCCATTGCCAAGATGCCTTTTAAGGGATTGTCGCCGGAGGATACTCTCCGAAAAGCCATAAAATTGGAAAAGGCGAGATATTTTAAGAAAGCCTATCGACAAAACAAAAAGACTTCTGAATCTTAAATATAGATGCTTATTAAAAACCTTACAAAGTAATAGTACAAAACCGTAAAAAGTAAAAGTACAAAACCGTAAAAAGTAATAGTTGAAAGACTGTATGTAAAACATGAAATCTTATTTTTTTTTTAATTTTATACAAAGCTTGGAGCTCTGATTTTGGTCATTTTTGCAGTAATATAATTCATAAGCAATACACCCCTTGGCAAAATTATAAGCCACATATTGAAAAGTTTTAAAATTTTTTTTTGTTTTGTTGTAGTCTAACAATTACCTTATAAATCCTACTACCTTCAAAATTTTCACAAGGGGTATAGTATATAATATATATACATATATATATAGTATATAATATATATAATTAAGTAAGTTTACGTAGTATTGCTATGCAGTTTCATAGCCCATTCGATTTTAGTATAAAATTTTTTTTAGTGGAATGTGTTGATCGTTTTCTCCAAAAAATAATTGTGGAATATACTTTGTATGGAAGGACCTGCGTGAAAAAAATGTCAAAAATCAAGGCGATTTTCTAGGAACTTTAAACATGCACTTTGTTATACTAAAACTGAATGGGCTATGAAACTGCTTACTAAAAAATTTTCTACAAAATCTTAATAGAAAGTTGCAAATTAGTATGCAATTTAGTGTATTATTCTGAGTTTTGCACAAAGCTTACTTTACTTTTATGTTTTTTGGTGTAAAACTAACCATATTTCTATAAAAAATTATCGACAAAATTAGAATAAAAAACTGCATATATTGCCAAAAATTCACTGTGCCAATACTCTTGTTCGTCACGGTATGCGAATATAGAACATTTTGCTTCGTTTCTAATACATCGAATATATTTGACTGAAATACTTATGTATATTTACATATATGTTACATCAATAATGAAATGAAAATAAAACTACGTTTCGAAACGAATGCTATTACACGTATTTTATTTTAGTCGCTGAAAGGATTTTAAAAGGTTCGACAATAACTGGTCTCATTTTGCTACTGCAGGGGCTTAAAAGACGACTCGTTTCTTTTCGTACCTGTTCGGGCTTAAAAGACGACTAGTCTCTTTTCGTACGCGTAGGGGTATAAAAGGGTACAATTAGTCTCTTCTCGAACAAAAGGGAACAGTTCAGTCCATACAAAGGGATGCAAAGTGGCATTAGTCGCAAGTTCCTTTGCGACTCATCCCGGACACATCCCATCCCCGTCGCATTTTTTGCAGGGTATCAATCAGATCAGAAACATGCTTATCGGTCATTCTATGTCGGTATTTAATTAATAATATTTTCATATTAGAAAATGCTGACTCACAATTATATGTAGACCCGAACATTGAATATAATTTATATATTTCATTTTTATTCTTAAGGTACTCGTCATCACTTATTTGCTTCCAAAAATTTTCTCCTGTTTCAGAGGGAATTAGAAAATCTTCTCTCATTCGTGACAATTCTACCTGAAGCTCAATTTGTTGTTCTTGTATGTTGCAAATAAGAGGGTTATCGTGCAAATCCATATTTTTTCTTGTACATAACTTCAAAATCATTAAATCTGAAATTAAAACTTTCTAATAGTGTTTCTATTGTTTTTGAATATTCATCCATTTTTTCAAATTATTTATGTTCATGAAAAATTTGTGCTACGTTTGGTAAGTAAGATATATTGTTATTTTCAATTTCATTTAATAATATCTATTTGAAATTTTTTTCCAAAGTGGGTTATACAGTATATTTTGCTTTGCTGCCTCTATGCTTAAGTGCACATTTAAGATACCTACCCCAAAATGCGCATCAAAAGCATTATTTTTAACATTTATAAGGAAACTGCTCCGATAGATGCATTCAACATACCTGCACATTGGCGATACCTGCCTTAAAAATTGTGCGACTAGTATCAATTATCAATGAAAGTATTACGTTTACCTGCACTGGCCCTACAATTACCTAATTTTACAACCTTTTATTTATTTTGCTCATCTCGCAGAACAACGAAAATGGCTATCATCTTAGTAGTTTATATAGATA